AAACAGCATTTGCAGTCAACGCTACCATGCGCGCAAGATTTGCAGTGGCTTTTTGTGGGTGTCAGAAGCACCGCCTTGTGCCACAATTGATATCCGACGACTCTTATGCTCCAATCGTCAGGCTCATGCAAAGGTTATTTGGCGAGAGATCGGCTGTACCTCGGGAATGTTTCCGTGGAGGAGGTCCCCTTTGTGGAGGTGCATGAGGGTTGGATTTTGCTGGTTAATGCTGCTTGAGAAGCAATGGCTGTTGAGCCTGTGGCGCATGCATCTCGAGAGTGGAATCCAAGAGCAGCTCGCATTCACTTTTGAGATCTTTTGAGTGGATTGCAGTGCTCTGTCCCAAGGAAACAGGAAATGTGTCGAAAGCTATTCGGGCTGAAGGAAGATACATGCATGTGGAAATCTTTGACCATGTCATTGACAGAAAGGCCGTCCAAGTCAGCTCGCCTTTCCCAAATTGCGACGCTTGCCTGATTTGCCTTGGCAAGATGAAGGGCTGCCTTGCTCGTGGCACAAGTCCAGCAAACTGGAAATGAGGATTTCGACGGCATCTTTGGGCTCGCTCCACCATCTGGCGGCCGGGATGTCGGACTTTCAACACCCTGCGGACTGGTGCTGCTGCATTGTCGTTTGAGTAGGGGGCAGGTGGTCAAACACCACGGCGTTACATGCTGGCTTCACCTGCTGCAGGCATGCAGACTCCTCTAGACCTGTTACTCAAAGCTCATGGCAACAAAATGAAGGACCAGGCCCGTCGTGTTGATCGGTTGCAAAGGGAGCCTTTTGCCCGTTCCGCAGGTTTTCTCCTTCCAGATGCCTAGCGATCCAAAGAAGCCTGGCAGCTTGGCGTTTTAAGGACTGAAAGGTCTGGGTGCGAAGAGATGCAAGGAGGGAAACCAGCATGTAACATCAGTTGACTCCGTTCCGTACCACCTTTCGATGGGCATGCCTGCAGCTGATAGCAGTGTTGAAGACCCTGAACCGCAGAAAGAGAGAGAGAAAGCTGTGAAATATTTGAAAGCTTGTCAGACGGCAGCTTTAGTTAATGTGACTCCTTTTTTTCATGCACCAGATTCGGATCCCCATGATGCTCTGGTTGCCAAGGCCATCTCTTGCTGGGCGAGGTTCTGCGACGTTTGCTGCACCTTTGGCATCTCCATTTATAGAACATCTTCCCTTTCGCGAGGTGGCGGTGCAGCGATACCCACGGGGGATCCGGTGGCTAAGCAAAGCAGCAAAGCAGATGTGGTGGCTTTTTGCGTTTGGAAATCGGAGACACCTCTGAGGTGGCTGGAGGTGACCAAAAGCCTCGATGTTGCAGGCATGGTGGCATGGCACTGCACCTGAAGCGTGTATGTGCACAGCAGCAAACTGGCTATGTCTGACTCCAGGCCGTAACAGCTTCGGCTACTGGGCACTGAGCATGGACAAAGTCTCCTTTGCTGGGCTGACCCTGACTGGTCGAGTTGGTCGAGCTCTCATCCCCCGATTGTAAACTACTGTTCTGATACCCGCTTGCTAGATCTTGCCATGCTTCAGGCATTGTGGATTCAGGCACAAGCTGCTTGGTGCTCCCTGGCCGTGATGCGCAGCGGTTCTACGATGCTGTGCGCGAGGCCATTTGATGTGGTGGGCCATAGTTTTGACTGAGGTTGATTCGTTGTTTCAAAATCTGCAGAACGCCCTCATGTTGGGTTTGACTTGTCCACAGGCTCAGTACTTCGACACACGCTGTAGCGCTCTGCCAGCTATCACGCTGACTCTGGGCGGCGAGGCTGGCGCCTTGGAAGATGCTGCATCAGGGTCGATGACGATAATGGCATTTCATCCGTCCTGAGGACTACGTGCTGACTGGTCCGCGGCTCGGGAGTCAGCTCATCAAGCAGATTCATGCAACCAATTCCAGTGATGTTCGAATTGTTGAAGTTGGGCAGCGGTGTTGAGAACCTGTTTTGTTTAGCCTTTGGAGGTGAGGACTATGGCTTCCCTCAGCTTGGAGGCTGCCAGGTTTGCGTCCAGGCGAGAGGTAGCTTCTGGGAGAGCTTCGGTAACACGTCACAGCCGTGTGCAAGATCTGCGAGGTGTCATGTCATGGCATGTTTTTCTGAAGCCAAAACGCACGTGGCCCAGGCCCGGGACAAAGAGAGGAAGCTCGGCAACAATTGATGCTAGCGAGCAGGCGTCGCATGTGTCTCCCGTTGCTTGAATCGCGAGTAGGTTTCCCATCTACTAGATTGTGTTAAAGTATTGCGTGCGGATCATCCTGGATTTGAAGTCCGTAAAGTCACAAACCCTACAATGCCACAGTGCTTTCATTGTTGTCACGCTGCCCTGAAGCGCTGAAGGGTAAAATTCATCAAAACTCCATTCCGCAAAAGTCCCATTCAGGACCTGCACAATGCCAATCTCCTGGAACTGCCTGAATCTAACACAACTTGAAGTCCTAGCGTTTTGCCACGGCTCCAGAACCTTCCCAAAACGGATAAACTGACAGCCCCTGGACCCCGACATCTGTAAAACTTCAACCTGAAGTGCTAGAACCTCGAAATCAGCAGGCCCTGAATTTAAGCTCTGCACCACTTGGTTCTCCAGCCATTGTTGGAGTCCGCGCTATCCCCACTTGCATGTGTTTGGTGGAGGCACGAGCCAAGCAATATCAACAGCTTGTGAAATGTATGCATACGAATTTGTGAAGTGTCCGAGTGCTCAGTACAAAGATAAGGTTGCCGCAGCTGTTTGGGGTTGGGGCTGTATCATGCACGCGAGGTTGTAGGGTTTGTGTTTTGATTTATAGGGTCTTGGTGCTCAGGTTGGTGAATCACTGTAGACCTTCGCAGACATGCTCCTCATTTGTGCAGCGTAGGTGATGCTTGTGCAGGGTGTGTGTTTTCTTATGTAATGGATGTGGGCTTCACCCAGTTTTGCACTATCAACAAACGTGCAACCCTTTTTTATGATGTGCCGAAGCTCAAAATTCCTAGGGCTCATTTGATTTTGAAGGCGGCCCCGCTGCTCCAGCTCCCCAAGCATCCCAACCTCAAAGCACGAGGAACTTGCAAACTTGTTTCTTCAGTATTTGAAGTATCATTCGAGGACATGGATTCTCGGTGACGTCTTCCATCGCCGCCCGGCTGTAGCTGACGCCAGAAACGCCAGTGACGTGTAGTGCCCGAGGGAAAGGGGGAAGCTTGATGCGACTACGAGGCAAGTTTGCCGTGACCTACGACTTTGGCTCGCGGCCACCAAGGCACGGACTATGTGGGGTTTTGGTACCTTCGCGGCTCTGAAGCAAAACTGTAGCGAAACCTCGCTGCTGAAGAATGCGGAAGCAGCCGAATGCAACTGTAACTGGAAAGGGTTGGCTTGCCACCTGGGCGCCGGCCGTGGACTAGTCGATCCGGTGCCGCTTGGCCGATGCCTGGTAAGCACGATGAGAGCCAATGTCAGGACCGGTGTGCAATCGTTGATGCTTTGCCAGTTGCATTCGGGGATGACGTGCCAATAGTGGTCCCCTTCGAAATCACCTTGTTTGCTGTTCAGTTGGCTCCAAGCCGATTACCCCATCCTTCAGTAAGGTTGCTTTCGCAGTGGCCTGTGCTGCGGCATTGGCCCTCCTGGTAGCAGTGGCCCACAGGCTCTGCAGGGAAGTGGTTGCAAAGTCATAGTTGCCTAGAGCAAGAGCAAACAACTTAAAAGTATAGATTATAAACCTAAAAGGCCTTGGCGAATGCGGCGGGCAGCAGTGTTGCAGGCAAGGCCACCGGATGCCACCGGCTTGTGACATATAAAGCAGCCCAAGTCGGGTCGAGCCTGAGCTCCAGGTGATTGCCAGGTGATTGCCAGGTGATTGTTGTGTATGACCTGACCAGGCCACAGCGCCCTCTGCTCATGAGCTTCCGCAGAGGCCATGACCTCTGAACCTTTCCAACCTTTCAGTCGGGTACACTGCCATCAAAGCTTGACACGGGTTCATCAGTTTGTAAGCACAATTATTGTGTTTTGGGGATCCTACAAGGACATGCCTGGCAGCAGCTAGAGTCAGCTACTGTAGAGTGCGGCGAGCCGGGAATCTAAGTGAACTCGCTTGCTGATTTTGCAGGGTCCTGGTATCGACAGGCGCCTGAGAGCTGTCAGGTAAGCGTGGCACAGTCGAGCCCGCAGCTTGCATGCAGCGGGTCGGGTGCAGAATCTCTGCTGGGTTGTTCCAGAGCATGTGAAGTGAGTGAAGATAGCAAACCATCCAACATGTGTCAGTGTCGTTTGTGAGAAGAGCTTCCTTCAAAGCCACGTACTGAGCAACGTGCTCAACTTGCACTTGACAAGTCAATATGCCACCCAACACACCCTGGCAGAGATCGTAGTTAGTCGTTTGAAAATGCCTGCTCCTGTGGGGTCGTGGTCAATCCTTGGCCGTCACGTGTCAGTCTTGTTTTGCGGTTGCCATGTTTTCGGTTCCGCTGCGCGAGAGTTGAGAGGTAGCCGCTGCCTGCGTGCCGTGTTTTGACAGGCAGCCCGCAGGTTGCAGGCCGTTCCAATCCGTTTAGCTGTGCAGCTCTGGCCATCAAGACGGCGTTGCCCAGCATGGACACAGATGACCTCGAGCCTTGTATTGAAGTGGATGAGAGATGGCCAGATGCAGCAGCGCAGCACTTGCATGCCGTTCTGTCTGGAGTCACTGCTGCGGGGCATGCAGATGAGACGCCTTCTCAAGCACGCACTTGTGATCGCTCATGTTTCGGACCATCCAAAGGAATTTGCCCCAAGGCCGTGCTGAGTTTGCCAGTATGTGGTGAAGTTTTGTGACTGAGTGCGAAGACTGCTCCTTCCTTTCCCTATTTGGTTAGTAGCATCATGTATCATCTACAATCAGTGGCAAACCCAGCCGAGGGTCCAGGCTGTTTGATACAGGCGCCAATTTCAGTGCGGAAAGAACAGCATAAACATGATTCATGGCTGAAAGCTCTGAAAGGGAAAGGGATTCGATGTACCTTTTGAAGGTGCACTTGGACTCGCTGCATGGCTTGCGCTAGCCGGTCCCGGCTGCCCAGGTGCAAAGTGTTTCTGCCGTGCGAAGCAGACCCAATCTCCAAGCTTCCCAGGCTATCGGAAGATCCGCTCTTCCGCGGCTGGAAACTTATTCATAGATTTGTTGGGTGTGTGGTACTGAGAAGATCAGGACACACTGTCACGGTGACAAGCATAGAAGATAGAATCGAGAGCTTGGGAGCTGGGTTGTGGTCCAGCGGGATGGAGATACTCTTTGATTGTTTTGTGCCCCCTGTTGTTTTGAAGCTTTCTAAGGTCCCAATGTGCCGTGCTGCTGGCAAGTGTTTTGCACATGGATAGTGGCTGCTTGCACAAGGAGGATGGATACTCTAAACCTTAAAAACCCTCAGGCTCAACAAAGAGGTTTGCTGACACGTCACATGCATGAGCTGGCTCGGCCTCGCCAGGTGCTTGTTGAAGCCAGCTTTCGGCGACAAAGCATTAGCAGGCGAACTGTACTGTCCAGGGAGTTGCAATTCTAAGAGAAATCCATTTTTTTGTTATTTCGCCTTCTTGACTTCCTGGCGTCTTGTTTTCTTCGGCTGCTCTGCTTTCTGTTTGTTTGGCTTCTCAGCTTCTGCCGCCCGGCACTTTTCGCCAGTCGCCAGCTTTCCGGCACTGCCGCTCCCTCGTGCCCTTAGGTTTGGGTTTAGGGTTTTGGTTCTAGGCACCTGCCCGCGTCTTTTTCAGTTTACGGCTTGCCTTGCATTAGTCCCTCTCCTTTGCCTGCCTGTTTTCGGCATGCTCGTTGCACACAGCGTTTATGCCTTCGCGCTGCCGCGCCTGTACTACGGCCGTTTTTTTTTTCTTCTTGGAGAAGGTTTTTTCTTGTGTTCGCAGGCCAGAGGGCCGCAGCGAGGTCTCTTGAAGTGGAATTGTTGACCAACCTTTAACTGAGAACAGCCCATGTGCGTTGTTTCTCAAAATATCATGTCATTTATTTGTATTATTTTCGTGATGACGGTAAGAACAGAACAAGTGTCATAAGACGACTAGCATTCCGAATATGATAAGATTCTCAAAACCAGTGCTAGTCATAATTGTGAAAACTCGATACTGTCAATTGCAACAACCAGCAGAATATACACTGTAATGTAGTTTTGAACAACGCAACAACTCTCAATACTCGTGCTAGCTACAACAATTGTCGTCATCGTTTTTGTTCTTGTTCTTATTCTTTGTATTATTAGTTGACCACTGTCACTACGGGGGCTTTCGCATCATTGTTACTGTGAATACCATTATTACTCATTTGTAGTTGCTTCTTCTAGTTTTCGTCAGTAATATGTGTAATATGTCTTCTCTTTTTATTGCCACTATTATGATTGCCTTGATTATGCTTACAACAAGCACTTTCATCCTTATTTACATTCCTATTATCATCATATTCGATGAGCTCTCGCAGGAGCAAGCAGCTGTTTCACAGTTTGACACCAAACTGAGCCCCCGTGTAGAGCGTCCTCAAATTTCGGCTCAAAATCTAGCTCTTACGTGCAATGTCCTCACATTTTGGTCTACAGGAACCCATGAACAACACCAAACAACCTAAATTGATGTTCACCGATTTTGGGGCATCAATTTTCTTTAGACCCATTTTCGGCGACAACATGTAGCAGTGGCAAGGGCCATGACAATACTTCCAGTCATGCTTCAACGGCTGGAGGCAATGGTACCGTCATCATATGTCCTGGCGGCAACTACGAGTTCCTTTGCCCGAACGAAGGCCCCGATAGTCTAGAATTACGTGCTGACAGGGCGGGAGAACTTGCCTTATAGCTGCTTGCCAGCAAATGTGCGACAAGAGCATCTATTTTGGAAGGCATCTCTTTAGTCATTGGCCTTGTGGCCTGTCAGGGCGTTTTGGTTGTGTTTGCGGAGCAAATAGACAGGTTTCTTGTTGCACAATCTGGTGAAGAAAGATAAGCTAGCTCTGACAAAGGGTCCCGTTTGCAAAGCAATCTTTCGGTGCACCTCTTCATGTCTGGGCTGGACACCCTCAAACGTGCGCATGCAGGGATGGTTAGGGCCAAGTTCTGGACAGGAACGTCAGGATTCAGATTTCCTTCTCTGGAATTTTCTCGGGGTGTGCTGTTTGGTGTGCATTCATTCAGTTCACGTCTTTCCATCATCAAGTTTACAATCGGTATCAGTATTCGGATTATTCGGATGTCTTCAGCTTTTCGTTCCGCGTATGGTTGTCCAGGCAGGTACAGCGGAATTCAGTTGCTTTACTCACGTTCGAGTCTGGCCTGTGCGCAGTCAGTCTGCTTCAGCTTCAACTTGCTGAAGGTGGCAGTGTTTCACCTTTTGTTAGAGACATGCTCCCCAGCATTCTGCCTGCTCGCAATGAAATCTCATGTGTGGGCATGCATTTAGGATTACTGTTGTGGTGGCCATAGTTTTGCAACCCTGCAGAGTGAAGACGTCACCTAGGTATGCATGGGTTGACATGCTTCGGGCCCAGTACCACGCTGTAGACATGTTAGCCTGATCAGCTGTGAATTCAAGTTAGGGGAGGGTGAAATTTGCCCCTCGGCTCTTACCTGCTTAAGTGACTGAATTCAGGGGTCCCGGAGCATGCTTCCACTGGCAGGTGCAGTAGGGAAGGTTGAGCGACTTGGGTTCCAGAAGGCTGAAATTGCCCATGCTGTTTTCTGAGTCTCGCTCGGCTGCTTAACTTGGAGCCTGTTGCGGTGTTGGGAACCCACAGAAAGGATGCCGATGACTGTTTTGGCTTGCAGGTCTGCCAGTTGCAGCCTGGCTGGCCAGGCATGTGGTGCTGCTCCTTGCAAAATTGTCATCGTTTGCTGCATCAGATCCGTGATTTCATGGGATGTTTGGAGGCATGGCATCCAGGCGCTTGTCCTGCGCTCGCTGCCTAGAGTCTGCTTGTGTGGGCTTCATCCGCGTTGATGACAGCTCCGTCTGCAGATGCTTTCCTTCTTTTTGATACATTTTCCTTGGCTCACGGGCCGTGGCTTCTGAACGCTGAGCTGCTTATGGTCTAAGGCTTATTTCCATTTGGGTTCAATGCGGACCACTGAGGTTATCGGCTTTTGCCACGGCACAGCTTTGAGGATGCACTGGCCGACCTAGAGGCGACGCACAAGCGGTCTCCACAATGCGGCAGTCCCAACTGTTTGATTCTTGCCAGAGAGGCAGCAGTGGCTTTGGTCCGGCGGCACAAGGAGGGGCCGGTGGCTACCCCGTGCTTGGGCAGGGGAGGTATGTTCCTGTGAAACATGTTTCTCCTGATTTGCCGAGGTGGCTGCAGTCGGATTTTCTGCCGGAGGGCACCTGGTGGCCAAGCAGCATGTGAAGAAGAGCTTAGTGTGTAGACAGATTCTTGGAAGCCAAAGGCCCCGCTTGCAAGGCATCTTAATGGAACGACTAAGGCAGAATGCTGCGTGGCATGTTTGGTAGGAGTGTTTTCTTTCGGTTGTTTTTTGTTGTTGCTGGTGCGGGGACTTGTTTTCGGCTGCTGGGACCCCATCCCTGCCCCAAGAGACAAGATAAAAAAAGTTCGCCCCTGCCCCCTGCCCATCAATAATTGCTGCTGACCAACAAAACAAAGACACGCCCTCCTCCCCCAGCCCCAACAAAAAAGTGCTTCCCACCCCAACAGCAAAAATAGGACATGGAAAAACTAATCAAGGCCCAAGAGAAATGCTTCTACTGTCCCGACCCAACAGCAAAAAAAACGATACCCAAGCCTCCCCCCTTCATCCAGCAGCATACAGCAAAACACAACACACGCTCTACCATCCACAATGTCCCTCTTCCGGGGTCCTGGCTCATACCCCTTCTCCTCTCCATCCAATGGCAATAAAGGTGATGTTTGCACTTGATGAATTTGAAAAGGGTTTCCAACATGTCTTTGTTCGTAAAGATGGCAGGCAGGGAGTTGCAAGTTGCAACAGAATCACATTGACTAGTTTTTGTACGGATTTTGCAAGCGTTGCTTGCAGAGGGGGAGGTTTTCAGTTTTCGCGGGGGCAGCAGGTGGATGGATGTTTTTTTGTGCTGCGATTGGGGATGCGGCGTTTGGGTTTTGGCTGTAGGGGCTGGGGCATGTTTTATTTTGGCTGTCGGGGCAAAGGGCATTTTTTGTGCTGTTGGGCTTGGGCGTTTTTGTTTTTGCGGTTTGGGCCGGAGCGCGAGCGGCAACCTTTTTGCGGAGGTGAATGAACGGGGGCTTGGACTTTGTGAAGCTACCATCCAGCGTCTACTTCGGTATACGTTACAATGGAGGGCCTAGCTGTCTCCACCGCCGTGGTTTGGATGAGGCAGGACGAGCCACCTTCCGGTGACATCGTGTGTGCACCATCGGCAGCGTAGCGGCAACTGAAGAGGCCGCCAAGATGGCAGTTCTCGCCAATCATATCGACCACGTGGTCTTTCTCAGTCGCCCCAACAAGTGTTGGCACTGGCTTTGACGCTGCTGGGGCGGCTACTTGGGCGGCCACAACATGCACTTCATCACTTATGACCGGCGTCTCATGGGCTGGAGCATGGGATTTGGGCCAGCTTCGAGGTCTTCGCCGACAGCCCACCACCAGCAGGCAGTGAATGAGCCCCAATGCGTTGCATGTCGGCGATCAGCAGGCGCAACGCAACGCTGTGGTTGCCTCCAGGTTCTTTTGCCTGCCTCCAACGCTTGCCTGGGCCAGATATCTGGCCTGCGTTCCCAGTGCGAGCATGGATCCAGGCGCCGTGGATGTTGACGACCTTCGGCAATTTATACATGCACCTGAGACCCTGGCCCAAGTACCCGCCGAGGGCCTTCGCCCAGGAGATTGCCGGTGCATTGCGGACCGCCTACACCGACGACGTCGCGTGCTCACCACGACATACTGCAGCCACTCAACCATCATCGGCATCAGTCGTGGTCATGATGTTGCTGGGCCTCGCGGTCGTCCAAGCGTGACACCCAACACGGCTACCAACAGCAGCGCCGTTTGACGTGACACCCAGACATCTTCGGCGTCCTCAAGCAAGCTACGTTGTCCACTCACGGCCACACAATGTGTTGGTTTCATTGCAATGAATTGCACAAGTAGCAGCGCCTCCCAGACATCCTCAGCAACCTCAAGCAAGCTACGTTGCCCACTCACGGCCACACAATGTGTTGGTCAAAAGAAAATGGGTTCATTGCAATGACTTGTTAGTTTTGGTAGCATTGGAAAGGATGACGTGATAAGGGCGTCCACATGTGGATTTGAGCCCGTGGGGCGCCTTCTGCCGACGTGGGGTGCCTTTTGCCTACGGGGGCGTCTAAGGGCAGTGGGGTTTCTTTTGCCCACGTGTGGTGCCTTAGGTCACTCATTTGTAGCATTACACTGTAGCATGCTGCATCACGGAGGCAGTTTGGATCATCAAATTAAGTACTCGTCCCCGTGCATGACGACCGTGATCCGCAATAAGTTATGCGGATCACAGTAATCATGCACGGGCGCAAGCACGGAGCTTATGTGCTAGCGTGTGATACCGGTGGCTGATCCACAGCCTTTCCATTCTGGCAGCGTTGCGACGTGGTATGTTCGTGTGATTTCATAGGGCGCATCGACAGCCGATGTAGGTGTGGTGACCACAGTATCAAGCTGAGGTCGCATCGCTCAGTTTGCGCCTCGGCAGAAGAGACAGGCCATTGGCATCCGCGGAGCTTCTGTGATTTGCTTAGCTGGGTCACTGCAATGCCTGTCCCAAAACACAGTTCACAGCTTGGAGTGGAACAGTTGATCTTCATTCCTTTCATTTCAGCATGCAAATGTCATGTCAAGCCACAGCATAAAGAGGCAGGTTGATTGCAAGGCTCACGCTGTGGCATCTCCATCGTACGTGCTTGGATGATGTGAATCCACTACACACGCTGTAGCGTTTCCAGCAGTGTCCCAAAAGATGCACAAAGAAGGTGAAATGCCGTGCTGTCACCCAATGGGGCGAGGGCTTGAATTCGTGGCAGGCTGAGCGCTGGTCCTTTGGATGCGCAGGCGGGGTTATGGCGTGCACTCCCTGGCTGGGCTGGGCTTGGTTTTATTGTGTCTGTGCGGAGCAAACTAGAGAAGCCACCAAAGAAAGACACATGTAAACGCCGTCGTGCAAACGCAGTCCGCAGGTTTTGGTGTACCCGTGCATTGACAGCTTCAGCCCAAGCTGTCTCTTTGGGAGGACGGGCTTATGGGAACGAGTACCAATCCCCATGCCTCAGTGGCCTGGGCTACGGGCTGGCTAAGGTTGGTACCATCACGGGAGAAGACAGCATGTTCAGAGTTTGGAGTTGCTTGCTCGTAGAACAGATGCTGCAGTTGAAGCGCCGCATTAGCTCCGGAGGATTTGCAGAGGTGTCGCTTTGGCGCCTTTGTGCTACCAAGGCTCCGGCTGGGCCAAGCCCTGCGAGGCAGGCTTTTGGGACACGGCGTGGAACCCAAAGCATAGGGACGGAGTGAACCAGAGCCCCTGCCTAACGCAGCTTGTTACATGCACCTAACATGCCTTAGATGGTGAATTGTGTGAGTTTAAAAGGATGACAAGGCTCTGGCGAGGCATTGGGACATCATTGTTTGGTTTGTTGAGGTCCTCGAAAATCCGGTCCGAGGGGCACGCACTGTCATGGCGACCATGCAGAAGTGCGTCCAGAAAGATTGCAGCCACGAATCCAAGCAACGTTGCTTAAGGCTTGCTTCAAGAAAGCGGACATGCTTTTGGAAGGCGCATGTTTGTTTGTACTTCTTATCACAGAGCCCGTGCTGTACTTGCGACGTGCGACGTGCTTGGAGTTGCGTGTCCAGAAGACGTGTTGCTGCATTTCACAAAAACGTGCTCAAGATGTGACAGCAAAGTGAGTACTCTACAAGCACCGAAATGTTGACAGGCCAGCAAGCGCTCGTCGGAGGAGCCAGAACTGTATCTGCTAGTGAAGATGTTGATTCTAGCGATATACCAAAGATCAAAAAGTGTCAGCAAAGTCAGAAAGGAGGCATGCTGTCTGACGTTTGCATAGAGGACGAGCTCGTTGGCGGCGGAAACCAACCAGTCTTGAAATATTCTTGCTTGTTTTCCAATCTGCTGGGGTAGGCTTGAACATTTTTTCGAGCTCGACAGTCCAGGGTTGTGGTGTTCTCGCGTTCAACAATGTCTCAGAGCCCTTACCACATCAATTTGCTGTGATGTTGACTGTACCAGAGTAAAAGAGAGCATCGTCTCTAGGACGTGGCTTCGCAGCGCCGTGATGCCCTTGGCACTTCCGAGACGGTTGTGATATGTTTCCCAGGAACACCCCGGGCTCTCCTGGGTGACTCATGCACAAGATTTGTCAAGTGATGCTTGGTTTGCCAGAGATGAATGAACAACATGCTTGCTGCCTGACGTTGCCAATGCTTGCCGCCCAATGCCCTGTCCTTGCTAGTCTTCATGTCTCTTTGGATATGAGTCGGGAAGTCCTTCGCACCTCTGGCTTGAATATTTACAGGGATGCAGAACTCAGGTGGTCAGATCGCATGCAGGCGTATGCTGTGGTGTGCCACAACAAGTCCTGACGTTGTGTAGAGAACACTTTGAGCATTGCATATAAAGCGTTTGTTAGTTCTGGGGGATTGCAGGCGGTGAGAAGCATCACTCATGAATTGTGGGCTCCTCATCCAGGCCCAGCTTCGTTGTTGGCTCCACAGGCGATGCTGTGTGCCCAGCGAAGGCCCATCTTCCGTCATGAGCATTCCTGGTGATCTCACATAGGGTGATATTAGCATATATTAGCCGTCAGTGACCTCTCCAGACTCTACGCGCATCCTTTCTCAAAACAGGTCCACACAGATCCATATGTGGAGGCGCTGCGCAAGAGGCGCCATCCTGCTCGTAGTGCTGCTCATAGAAGGCGAATAGAGAAAAAGTTGCGGACTTCCATATGGTTGAAGGCACGGCATATGCAGCTTGGCACATGCAGGGGAATCGCCCATGAGTACATTCGTGGAAATCTCGGAGAGCATGGTTTCGGGCTGGACGTGGCCTGAGTATCAGGCTGTCTTGCAGGCAGCATCTTCCTGTCATCAGACCAGGAGCCAGTGCTGGTCTTGCGCAACAAAAAACTTTGCATATCGTCCAATACTGACCCAACACCGCAGTCGTCGCAAGCATGAAAGCTGCCTTGCCTCAAGCTGCAACAGAGGTTCCCGCAGACAGAGTTCAAGTGTGACGCATCTGCTGACAGCCCCTGCGGTGTCAATTTGCTGCGCCAAGGACCCGTGTTGGAGCGGTCCTGCATTGCGGTGGCTGCATCAGCGCGGCTTTGGGAAAAAGTGCCCCGCACGCCAGATGCCAAGTTGGCAGATGGGATGGTGCGATGTGGCTTGATGTCTCGCTTTTGGAGATCTTGAGCATCTTGAGGCTCCTGGGCTGGCTTCCGTCTGGCCGCTAGGCTTCCAGGACTGAGTATCCGGGATTGGGATGTTCTTCAAAAACTGCATGCAGCTGTCATGCGGGTTCAGATGCTGGGCGGGTCTGGACAGAAACTTTTTGCATGCATGGCTCGAGATCCTTGTAGCTGCGGGATGATGCAGGCAGCTGGCGCGAGTGCAGGGAGATCGGGACAACAAACGCAATACAATGTTGTGATGAAGCCCTGCTCAACATGTCATCAGCCTACAAGATAGCGTTGTGGAGTCTGCATGTGTTGCAGGCACTTATCCAATCTTACAGGAGCATTCGACCACTAGGAGCGGCAATCGTCTGAGAGCCGCGTTGGATGCGGAAGAGTTGTCGTCCATCATGGCATTTCATCCAGTTTGGAGTGCAAGTCATATGTCTGAACCTGGCAAGCCATAAAGCGGACCGGACGACTGACATTTGAAAGATTGTTTACTGCAAGACTTATTGTGGGCCGAATCTGGGCAAGCCGTCCATGCACAACAAGCTTCGAAAGCCCGACACAAAAATGTGACAAGAGCTGCCGCTTACAATCATAAGCATAAGCAAATGCAACAGGCAAATGTTTGTGAGCGCAAGCAGATCCTCCACCAAAAACCGGAACCGGCTGCATCCCACGGCTTCAAGTAAGGCAGGCATTGCTACATGGAATCATATGTGTGGGGGGGGGATTCTGGATGGATGAGTCTACTGTAATCCACGCACCCATTCAAGTGGAATGGTCTTACTTTTCGAGCAGCAGGCGCATGTCAGCACACTTGAATCATGTTAAGAATGCTAGACGCCGGGCATAATTGTGTAGCCTTCGTCAGCTGGTATCTTGAGATGCAGCGTTTCGTTGTGGGGATGGCTTGCCTCTCTGTGGCTCTTGAATTTGCAAGTTTTCCTGAGCACCCGCACGGTCTGGAGGCTCTAAGGAAGAGGCTGCCACTCCTTGGCCAGCAGAAAATAGCTTGGCTGCTGGTGGGTGCATGGCGTCAGCCCAGCTCTCATGGGTTTTCTGTACATTATGTGGGCCGAGTGACACAGAAGAGTGTTGCGATCAACCCAACCTTACCACAAGTTGTCCTCAAGAGGCTTGACCTCGGAGCGGGAGATCTTGTCTGAATGCAATTTCCGCTGACAGGTTAATAGTTGCAAGCTTGATCGTTTTGAATGTGGGTTTCAGACAGGAAGCAGAAAGAACGTGTCCAGTCAGGCTGTGGGAAAGGTCTCTCAGGGCCTTGACGTTTCTCCCTGAGAGGTCTCCACGCAAGCCTAGCCTAGCTAGTTGCCACCTTCGATTTCCTGTGCGGGTGGTTCAGCAGGAAGAAAGCATGGAAATCATGACAGTGACAGTTGCGCACTACCCAGGGCTGCTGGTCACATGGCAGAGCATGCCATCGTACGCTGCAATGTCCAAATCCATAACCAGTTTTGTTTCTGATGGCGGAGACGAGCAAGCCTTTCCCGGAATGCTTCTTGTGGTCTCGATTCCATGCTCTGACATTATTCCTGGTTACAAGCGCCTTAGGGACCCATGTGTGTCCCGGTGCAGGCAGGCAGTGGGAGCACGTTAGACGGGGCATCATGTTAGCAAGTTCCCCAGCAGACCTGGCAAACTTGTTGGATAAGAGGAACTGAAGCTTACTCAAGATGCATCGTGATTTGTGCTTGGCAGCTTTAGATCTGGACGCAACAGAGCGAAGCTACATACCAACCACACTTCTACCTCAGTTCGTCCTTATGTGCAAGCTTCAGGTGCTGTTCGGAAACATGTTAGACAGAAGTCTGTTCGGATGTTTTTGAGTAGAATGATTCCCCTTTTGACAAGTGCGCGCGGGCGTATAGATGCGATGAGGTTGATCCGGTTCGAAAGAGCAGCGGTTCGAGAGCAGAAAACCTGCACGTGAGGCAGATTCATATTCCGCAGTGCACAGCCTGACTCGTTGAAGCACCCACCCAGAAAGGATCACACAATATCACACATAGTTCTGGAACCAGTAGGCCACGCAATTTTAGGGTAAAGCCTCATGATTCTTCTGGACATTCCTATACTTCCAGTTGCAGATCACCTACATTTCAGCGATTCCAGTACCCGGTCAGTACCCTCCAAGTAGCCAATAAATGAGCCATGGCAGCGGTCAGCATGATACCAGGCTCCATGCCTGTTTTGAAGCAAAAGTTGAGGGGCTGTCTTGAAGTGCGGTGTTCCAGGTACGTACACCCTTTCAGCAGGAGAGTTTGCACCTAATGCGGCTAGGTCCTGAGTTGACTCGTTGTGTAATTATGCGTTTCGGGATGGAGTGGAGCATCCTGCCTTGCCTGTGCCTTTAGCACTTGTACAGCCTAGGCACTTGGCGCGCCAGTGTCTCTGCAGCTCGTAGGGCTTGGTGCTATTGGAATCTCGGTTGGTGCAGCTGTAAGTTTTGTTTACTTTTGCTCGGTCGACGAAACACTCTGCTACAAGCAGCTGATGAGAGTCCCGATGACAAATTCAAACAAAGTTTGGCAGTGTCGCCCAGGCTTTGCGGGCTTCTTGATTCTCTGGCTGCGCTAGACTTGGTTTCCGCAGAAGCTCTGCTTGCTACGGCCATCAGAAATGTCAGCAGCAACAATGGTGGGTTCTGGATAGTTCTGGCTTGAATTTGGCGGAGGTGCTGTCAAGAATGATTGAAGCCTGCATGTACACGAACTACATCTGGACACAGGCTGAATCTGACGACAGCCAGAGAGACGGCAACTGTACTCTGGCGCATTTTTGCGGCAAGCCCGGCCATGTACGTGTCAGTGCATGTGTCATGCTGCCTGCAGTGTGGAGTGAAACGTATTATGTAGCCACAATTGCATGCCAGGTGGTAGCGGTCAGCCAAGTATTGATGGTTCGTGGCCAAGATCGCTTTTGGTTGAATTGCGTCTCATGTTGATGAAGGGCAACTTTACGTTCTCCTTTGAGGGGGATCGGGCAAATCTTCCTTTCTGGCAACCTGCCTAGCTCAGGCCTACACTGATGATTTATGGCCAGGCTGACAGAGATGGCCGCCTTTCACTTGCTAAGAAGCAAACGCTGCGCGCAAACGCAAGTGCAAATGGGGCAAATTCAATTCGAATAATATATAGACCTTTCCAAGCTCCTGGAATGCTTAAGGCAGCTTTTTGGGTATAGGCACCCTAGAGACTTCTATCCATGCAATGGGTGCAATCTGAAGCAGTCTTAAGCATTGAAGGGCTTAACGGTTGTAGCCCTAGAGGGTTTATGACTTTTCGGGTCTCAGGCGAGTTTCAGGCAAAGGGTTCAGGTAAACTTCTGGGCCCCAAACAAACTATGGCCTGATAAGACCCCGACTTGTGCCCCACCTCAGAGGCTTCCCGAGGTTTTTCGAAATCTTCCAAAATTTTTGGAGGTCATCGCCTTCCAGAGGTTTCGAGGTCTTTCAATGCTTAAGTCAGTGGCTCAGGGGCCTTCCGAGGTCCGAGGGGGGCGCCGATAGTAGCAACCTGAATGCTTAAATCATTGAGACCCTGGGGCATTCAAATCAATAGGGGCGGGCCGTCACTATGGGCAGGAAATCTTCATTTAAATCAATGACCCAGGGGCCTTAATTGAAAATTCTGGACTAGCAATCTATAGAAAAAGGAATTTCTATTTGATACGATTTTTGACCGCTCACTTGAAGGCAAATCACGAGAATAATTTATTATTGATTGCGTCTCGCGATTCTTGAAATAACTCCGTATGATCCCGGGATAATATAGAGAAATATTGATCTTATATATATTATTTAAATATAATTAGAATTGATTTGGCAATACGTTATGAATGAGAAGATGAAATTATATTCTATAAAAAGGAAATTAAATAAGAAATTTTTTATAATTTATAATTATTATAGAAATAAAGATAAACCCATATTTCGTTCAAGGTTATGAGGGGATTGAAAGGTTGGATTAGAAAATTTAATTTTATAGAGATGGCACTAGGATATTAGGATATCGTTATTTCTGGGGATAAGGATAGGAGATTATATACGAAGAGATATTTATATATATTAGAATATTAGGATGACGAGCTATTATTCTACGATATAAAAATATAATAATATTTATATAGATATGAATATAATGATGATTATAATTAATAGATATATATATATACGATGATCCATATAGATTTTATAAATTATATTTTCTTGATTTTTTAACTTCTCGATTATTAGGTCGCATCGTTATAAGAATTTTTCAATTGAATTCTTAGAATATATATTATTATTCTATCTTTTTTTTAGATCGTATACTGCTGAATTTAATATTATTAGGACTTTTTATGAATAGATTTTATTATAAAGAAAATATTCTAGAGATCGCGCTCAGCATAGACGATAAAGAATGATAAAATACTCGTATTGAATCTAAATAATAGATATACTCTGCATACTAGAATGATTCTCGAATTCGGATAATCGTCCAATATCCGCAATTGATTATACTATTTCTATAAAGGAGAGATATGAAAAAAATATAATTTTTTTTACTATGCAATCGGGCATGGGCGCGTTCATATCGAATTCCGCCTCCGCGCAGAAGGTACGTAGTCGGAGGAGAGATCATATTGAAGGCGATGATAAACGCAAGATTTCCGGATTGATATTCGATTTATCTAATCTTGCTGATTGGCGATTCGGCGATTGAGATCGATATCATGATATGATCAGAAAATCAAATCTATTTCATATTTTTTTCAAAAATAGAATGAAGAAATAGATAATGATCTCGCTCGCCTTCATCTATATAAAGAATTTCATTTCGAAATACCTCGTCGGCAAGATACGTATAGCAATCGATATTTGCCTCATCGCAGAGCTTAACGGGAGGATCAATCATCCAGCAGCTGCAACCGATCAGAGCAAACACTACTCACTCTCAACGAGCCAAAAACGATCCTATAGGAATTTCGATTACTCGATTTGTCTCCCAAATCGTTAGATGACTTCTACGAGACGGCAAATTTGGGGGATCTGGAGCGATTTTGGAGGCCGTCAAATAAGCGATCTGAATGCTTTTTATCTCCCAAGTCGTTAGATCATTTCTATGAGATATCGAATTTCGGGGAATCTGGAGCGGATTTGGAAAGCACCAAATAGAAGATCTGAATATTTATCTCTCCCAAGCCGCTAGGTCATTTCGCCAGACGGCAAATTTAGAGGATCTCGAACAGATTTGGAGATCCCAAAAATCGATCTGAATGCTTTTCTCCCCCAAATCACTAGATCACTTCTGCGAGATAATAAATTCGGAGAATTTGGAGGATATT